TTAAAGTTGAGTCCATATTAACTCTATTGGGTTCAATTTACAATAGTAAGGAGGAAGTCCAAGCACGGTATGCCTATTACTGCGAGTACAGTTATCAACAACATATACCTTCTGGTACTGTCTACTATAAACAATCTCCAACAATTGCTTTTTACTATGATGCCTCAAAGTACAAATCTCTCCCAAATAAAAATTCTTGAATTTTGTTTCAAGTACTATTTGGAATTTTCTTATTAATCTTGAATGATATGATACGTTGTCCATATAATAATCACACTATATTTAGGTAATCTCATAAGAAGAGATTCTTCAAACCATGATTCAAAAATTAAACTTTTCATGTCCTCATGATAATCTAGCATCTTTATTTTTTTTTTGAAGATATTAATAATACATAATCGATCCATCTATTTTCTCCACCGAAGTGTAAAATTATAATTCTCTGTCCTGTCATGAGTATCAGACCAAGTCTCATTTAAATAAACAAGATTTCGTTTCATTTTTTGATACTCAGTTATCTATCGGATAGAAATGTCTCTAAGAAATAATTATTCTAGTACTTTCCATTAGTGTTTGGCGCTTGTCTACAGTTTTTTACTTAAAATTATGGGTTTTAAGAAATCATCAAAGTGTTGTTGCTGAATATAAGAGAATCCTTTCGAACCAGTTCACTTCGAAAGCTTTCAATAGTTGGAAAAATATTAGCCACTTCCATTTTATATATTGTTCTGATAATATGTTCCTTTAGGTGCGGTTCTATTTGTGTGAATTTGCACAATCCTTTCTCACCTGTCTAAAAGAAGATGTTGCTCCTATAGTCTTGTATCAGATTGCTTTCGACACTCTGATAAACATGTTTCTACAATTGTTTCTTATTTAGACAATTTAGAACACAATCCTTCATAAACATGTTTCAGCATATGTTTGGGATCATCAGAGAGATATTGAAAATGTCGCTTACATTTTACTACACAGCTTTGTGAATATTAGAATTGATTAGAGGGTTCCACTGGCTTTTCAGCTGCAGAATTATTATCACACCACGGGTGCCACATTTTAAAAGTATCTTCGTTAAATTATAAAGTTTACTGTTCTTTTACATATTTTTACGTACTTTCTTGCTTTGTGAGTTTTATAAAAACTAACTTCTGGTTTTTTTTCCAAAAAACATTGAACGTTTACATCTATGGTTCCTGAGTTGAACTTTTTTTATACTTAAACCCTCCATATCCTCATGATAATCTACCTACCCAAGTGTAAACCACTGGACGGTCAAAACGAAATTTATTTGGATAAACTACCTTATAGTTTCGGTCGCTCAGGCAAATATTGTTATCTTAGGCAAAGAATGCATCGATGATAACTTTATCTGGGCGACTGTACATCTTTTCTAACGTAATACCAGGCACATCTGAATGTAAATATCGATGGGATATTAAAACTTTGTATTATAATACATCTCAGTCATTGATAATTTTGCAGTTAATAACTACTCCTGGTAGAGTACTTTTATTTTAATTTTTATTGCCTACTTTTATTACAGATAAATATATTCTTACACAGTCTCACCGAAATACGAGGCGACTATAACCATGGGGTTTTTATTCACTGATAACTACCACACCATTGTGAGCTTAATCCTATAATCTGGGCACAAATAAAAAAGGAGGTTGCAAGTAGAAATACTACTTTTAAGTTATGTAAAAGTGCTCTTCCACGAAGCCATAAATAACGTTACCCAAGAGAACTGGCAAAATTGCATCTTTCACACGCAGAAAGAAGAAGAAAATATGTGGAATTTAGATATACAGGCGGATGTCATTATGGAACCCATTGTCGTTCAACTGGGTGCAGATAGCGAAGACTCAGACATTTCTGATGTTGTTTAAAAGTAAGTTATGTAAAATTGATTATTAATTCAGTTTGAAAAGTATTTTCGTAAGTTTTCACCAAGAACGTAAGATGAAATTTGATTGTGTTGTTGATATCTTTGGGAACACACACATGTATTATTTGATGATGCCGATTAATTTTATTGCGAATTTTATTTCGATTCTTTTATTTGATCCCGAAAATGATATCATAGTAATTCATTTACTTGTATAAAAATGTACTATTTAATATACTAAATTTTAAAATTTTATTAGTCTATTTTAAAAATATTTTTGAGGTACTTACAAAATTAAATATTAATATTAATAAAATTGCTGTAAATATTTATCCAAAAACCTCGACGCCTATGATCTTCCTCACGTCCTTTCGCTCGACACCGTAACTGTCTATACTTTAAAAATTCGTCACTCGCAAAAAAAAGGCATTTTTTAGTCCACTAAAACAATCCAATTTCTGTAATGAATTTTATATTAGAACCAGATATGAAACAGATGACACTTGTATACTACCAGTTGCAACTTATGGATTGGAAAACTATGGCAATAACAAGAAAAATGGCAGAACAATTAAGAGTAACTCAACGGGCCATGGAGAGGGCCATGTTAAATATAAGCCTCAGAGACAAAATTCCTAACACCGAAATACGTCGAAGAACTAAAGTAACCGACATCATGGGAAAATAGCGACATTGAGATGGCAATGGGTAGCACATGTAGCAAGACAAGACACCAACAGATGGTCTCATAAAGTGACATTCTGAAGATCTCGAGAAACAAAAGAAGCGTGGGAAGACCTAAAAAGAGATGGATAGACGATATAACTGCTGTAGCTGGAAAGCAGTGGATAAGAATTGCAAAAGATAGGGAAGCGTGGAAGCAATTGGAGGAGGATTATGTCCAACGTTGGATAAATGAAGGCTGAAGAAGAAAAGATGATGAAACAGAACTTTGTATGTATGGAAAGAGAAGCTTTAGGTACTATTTCAACCAGTGTAAGTGACTTCCAGAAAGATTCAAACGTTCTAATCTACAGCAATAATCTACGAGTATAACCTAGCGACAGATCAAAATTAAGACAATTTTGAAGATGAATTTGTTAATATTGTTAATAATATTAGATCGTCTAACTAGAAAAAACTTCCTTGTAATAAAATTAATGACTGTGACTTATTGTTTTTTTATTTCCATCAAAATTGACATTTATACTTGTCTAAACTACAAAACTTAACTCATTAACTTATTTACAACATAGGATGGTAAATTACGTAGATGCCTTCTTCATTCTGCTTTAACACTTCCCTCATTGAGTAATTTTCCAGCCCGATTTCAAAAAGTAATTTTTTCATTCTATTTGAAAACAGCGGCTTCGTCAAAATATCCGCTAACTGATTTTCAGATGACACCTTTACTACTTCAAGTGATCCATCCAATACCATTTCTCTAACAAAAAAATGTCTAATATGTATATGTTTAGTCCGGCAATGAAACTCGGGATTCTGCGTTAATCGTATGGCTGATTCATTGTCGACATGTAGTGTCGGAACCAAGCTAACGCCGGTTAATTCCGTAAATATTCTTTTTAACCAAAACTATTTCTCGTGCAGCGTCACTTGCATAATTCACTATCCAGCTTCACATCTATGTTAAATTCTTGTTTAATTACATCTTTAACATAGATGTGAAGCTGGATAGTGAATTATGCAAGTGACGCTGCACGAGAAATAGTTTGGTTAAAAAGAATATTTACGGAATTAACCGGCGTTAGCTTGGTTCCGACACTACATGTCGACAATGAATCAGCCATACGATTAACGCAGAATCCCGAGTTTCATTGCCGGACCTAAACATATACATATTAGACATTTTTTTGTTAGAGAAATGGTATTGGATGGATCACTTGAAGTAGTAAAGGTGTCATCTGATTGTCTAGTATAACTAAAAAATTGCATACAGATATCATAGGTTTTATCTGTTGCATTACCATCATACAAACGATGCAGCTCCAACCAAACTTCCCTATGCGGTCGAAAATCTCATGACTTTTTCTAATGTGCGTTGAGTCATATTTATTGTAAGAACTAATAAGACAGTACTATCTGTTTGATTAAAAAAATGCAACATCTTTTTCATACTTGCATTTTTCTTCTTGTGTTGCTCCTTCGAGTAACGACTTAGGAAAAGTTAATCTACCATCAAGGACGTCCATCGCACTTTTTACATTTCTCAGAAGAATAGAGATTTTGTATTTCCAAGTGGTCCAACTCTCTTTACCTTCAAGTAATCCTATTTGCACCTTACTGGGATCCATTTTACTCTGGATTTAATTTAAAATGCTCTTTATTACTTTATGGAGATGACACTTTCCAGACAGTTAAAAAATTTTTCTTCAATTATTACTTAATTTCTTGTATTTTCTAGCATTACCATTTAGGTACTGTACGCTCTGCTACCATGTTAATATTGTTAATAATATTAGATCGTCTAACTAGAAAAAACTTCCTTGTAATAAAATAATGACTGTGACTTATTGTTTTTTTATTTCCATCAAAATTGACATTTATACTTGTCTAAACTACAAAACTTAACTCATTAACTTATTTACAACATAGGATGGTAAATTACGTAGATGCCTTCTTCATTCTGCTTTAACAGAATTGTCAAATGAAGACAACTGAACTTTTTGAAGTTGAAGAAGTTTGAGCTAATCTTATATAATATTATAGTGTTATAGAAAAGCGTGAGAAGAAATCATTAAACATGTATTATTTTTTTATTCGTTATTAAATTTTACTTTACACAATTTAGTTTATTCCTACCACCACAAATTGTATAATCAAAAAAGATATTAAAATATTATTGAGATTTCTTTGACAATTAATTAAATATTGATGTGATATAAAAGTTGTACAACAGATTGAAATATTATTCTGTGGTCATCCTATCCTTAAATAGGAGACAGACAGAAAAAATAAAGTGGAGTGATTGTAGATGCAATTGATTGCACGTCAAATCGCATGGTGACGGGCAAAATCACTAGTCCACTAATGTAATTACTTACTGTTGGTTCTGAATTAATATAGAAGACTATTAACAAAAAGTTTTAGTTACCTGGGAAGTGTTCCGTCGTCGTAACTCTTGTTCTGCAGCCTAAACTTTTCTTTAGCAGCAATGAAGTATCCTATCAAACTATTTTTCGGCTTCTTAGCAACGATAGTTTCGGTGGCTGCTCCTTGTTCCTTGGAAAAAGGCATTAATTTCCTAGGTCTTCCGACTTTTCGTTTTTTAGAAGCGGAGTGTTTCTCGGGTGACGAATCGAAATCTGTCTGGTTAATTTGATGCTTAAAGTCTAATTTAGGCGTTTCGCCGATAGTCGGTTTTAATAGTTTCAAAAAATTGTTGTTCAGTTTGGATGGTTGGTCGAAGACCGGCGACGAGATCATACTTCTATCAAAATCAGCAGACTTCGATCGAAAATGTTTCTTTAGGAACTTCAGCTTTTTAGGCTCTGCTTTTAGTGGTTCTTCTGTGTTCTCTGAAAGATTACAAACTTTTGGGATCTTAATATTTATATTAAGATTCACGTCTGTTTCTTTTTGTGGCAAGAAGTTGTTTGTCCAAGTTGCCTCGTCTAAAAAAAAGTTATTATTGATCAATTATTAGCAATATTGTCGGATTATTAAAAAAATAGTTCCTTAATCACTTTCAGTACAGTGTACTTGTATACAAGTATTTACGTTCCACGCTACAAATGACGTATAATAAATAGACTCAGCGAATGCTGTACAAATTGTCGTTAACATGAATACCTCCTGGTGGAGAGGATAAATTTATTACCAAACTTTCCACATTTTAGAGGCGTAGTTGAACACTTAATTGCTTCAAAATATTTATTAAGAACCACTGAAGCAATAAAACACTTAAGGCTGTTTTATCGGTGCACCAAAACCTAGGAACTGTTATTAACCGAGAAAATGCCTAGAAATTTGGACACAATATTCGAAACTATGTTGCTTTTAAAATGATGGTTTTATTTTTTTTATTTTTTTGTTCCTTCTGTTAAAAAATTGGATTATACTGTTTAACGTTCTATTATAACCAAACTTTTTACGCCCATCGCTTGAAAGAGTTTTTTTTCTGTAATCGTTGATTTTTTTTTCACCTCTCTGCGTTTAGTAATAATCGAGAAAAGCGTGTTCAAACTTTGAAGAAAATTGCTAAAAAATACTAAAATCTAATAGTGAAACGTGTTAATCAGTGTCGCTAGGTTCACCGTTATCGCCTTCGTGACTTCAAATCTCATGAGCGTACGATCAGTTAGTTCGTGTTTAAAACTAATTTAAATGGATAGTAATGCATTTGTTGCACGTTGGCCGACGCCACTGAGTAAAGATAGTCTCGCATAAGCAGTGTAGAAATGTAAGGATACGCCCATTTTAAATCGCAGTGTGCTTGAACTGCTAAAACAGCCTTAAGACGTATTTTTCCTTCGATTTATTTATAGTAAACTTAAAAGGGTGATTCTACATTGATAATTATCGCTATTCTGATATTGGTACTGGAAAGAAACAAAACTGGTATACGATTTAACACAAAACACCGGTTCTAACGTGTTAGCGCATCTATCACTCACGCAGCACGCACTTTTCGGGATCGACAACACACCCCCGTCTTTACTTGTCGAGAGGCAAATTCTCACTGTCCTTGTCCTAAGTTCTATAACGCGGAGTGGAGAGAGATTATGAGGGAGAGGTCGCAAATACATTAACACGAGAGCTGACGATCTTAGCGCACAACTTGATAAAATAACTACATTACGATTACAATATTATAAATAGGTTGTTTTTACAACACCTCCGTTTATGTTTTTGTTACTATCCAAGTTGTAAGAAGTTCACGATTTTTTACGAAGTGGCGTTGTGTTTGCATATTGTAGTTGACAAGCTAATTTTATTTTAAATTTTTGGGGCTCATTTATTTAATATTTTAGTAAAATGCCATTAAAGTGTCTTGATTGTGGTCGCGTAAGTTCGAAAAGCTAAACATCACTTTTTCAAGTAAGTCATTTTTGAAATGTATGTGTTGATATTCAGTGAAGGCGTTTAGTTTATTTAATAAATAAATTATTATACATTATTCTGATTACTTAACAATTTAAATTAAATGTTTTGTATTTTGTTATTGAAATCATTTAAATATAATTTTTATAATTAGTTTTTTTTTTATCTTCTTATTGCGCCGTCTTCTTTCGAAGATTGGCGATCCAAATGGCAATTGTAGCTTTAGAAACTGCTGCACGAAAGATTTCTGTGGATGAGCGGTTAAACCATCTCCTCAGGTCTTTCAGCCACGAGTTCTGGCGTCTTCCAACTGATCTTTTGCCTTGCGCTTTACCTTCCATTATGACTTTGAGTAATTCATATCTTTCACCTCTCAACACATGACCCAAGTATTGCATTTTTCTCTAGTTGACTATGCTGAGTAATTCTTTTTTTTTACTCATGCTCCAAAGTACCTCACCATTGGTAACTTTTTGTATCCGTGGAATTTTCAGCATCCGTCTGTATATCGTCGGTCTAGCGCACACAGGTGCTAAGTAACTTTTTTAGCAAAATGAGTTAAATGCATTCCGAACTGAAGACTAGCAAGGAGTTTCATATGCACACTCGAGCTAAGTGATAATTATAATTTTAAATTCGCTAACGCCATCTAACGAAAGTGGTAAGTACTAATAAATTGTAGGAATCTAGCACAAAGGTTGAAAGAGCACTTAGTACCTTTGTGTTTCTTGTGCAATAATTACAAATGAGTGAAGTGAACACATGCTTCTTTTGCGTTTTGAGGTTATTTGACAGTGATAGTTGTAAATTTGTTTTTGATTTATGAAAAGTGGTACAAAATAATTGTAATTATAATTATGGCGTCCAGATCGGTGAAGATACTACAAATGGCATTAGATGATGTAGGAAAAGAACTTAAAGGTATAGTAAGGTGTCGACTATAAAACCATCTTGTTCTACTTAAAAATAATTATTTATTTCAGTTGCCACAATAACTCCGGCATTGGAAAAAACTACTGAAGGAGTACCAGGTAATGTAGAAATTGATATAACAGAAACTATTATTCTAAATCAAGTACAGGAAACTGATGAAACAAATGAAAATTAGTGTGATGAAAACATTAATCACCAGATTCAAGAATTTGACTCATATAATGGTAGTGATCTTGATGAATATAATCCCTATGCTTCATCGGGAAGTTCTTATCATCCGTCAGAAGATAGCACTGAATCTGAAAATGTTGATAAAAACAATCCAAAAGATGAAGAACCAAATAAAATACCAAAAAAACGTCGCCGCAGAAAAGCCAATAAAAAGGATTGTAAACTATCAATTGTAAAATAGTTAAGAATTAGTGGTAAAAAATACATTAATCGCTCCGGATAGGAAATTACAGAAAAAAGTCCTCGTCCAACAGATTGCTATAAGTGCAGGTTTATATGTCAAAAACTATTTTCTGAAGATCAAAGGGCACAACTGGGTGCAGATTACTACAGCTTAGCAGATTATACGAGACAAAAAACGCTGTTGAGTTCTTTGATACAAATAGTGAATGTATCTAGAAGCAAACAAACTCCCATAACAAAAAATCGAAAAGAGTCAAGGTTATATCATTTAATAGATAATAATGGGCAAAGAGATCGAGTCTGCCTCAAGTTTTTTATAGACACGTTTGCTATATATATATTTGTGTTAAAGGAATGATGAATAAGGGAATTTTTGTCGGCTATGATAAAATAAAGTATAGCAAATCCAACAATGCAACTGTTGAGATACAACGGCAGCAAATTAAGGATCATATTAACTCATTTCCAAGAATTGAGTCGCATTACTGCAGGAGTGATTCAACTAAAAATTATTTAAATGCAGATTTAAACAATTCCATCACGTACCGATTATATCAAGACTTTTGTACTTCTAATAGTATAAGTCCGGTCTCAAAGTTTGTGTACCAAAGTATTTTTCATAATTTTGAACCAGCTCTTGCCTTTTATCGTCCAAAAAAGGATCAGTGTTCGGTGTGTAATGCATTCAACCACACCAAGGAAAAAGATCACTTAAGAGAAGAGTATGAAAAGCATAAAAAAGCCGAAAACAGTCGATGGATATGAAAGAAGAGGATAAAAAAACGGCAGCAGCCACGTTGGGAAAACATTTAGAGCAGTAACATTCGATCTGGAAGCTATTCTACCCGGTCCGTTTGCTGGTGATTCTCAGATATATTACAGGAGCCATCTAAATGTTTACAATTTTACAATTTATGATGGATCTACTCGAGACGGTTATTGCTATGTCTGGGATGAAACTCATGGTAGCAAAGGTAGTCCTGAGATTGGTTCATGTCTGCTTAATGACTTCTACTAGACCTACCCAAAACTGTAAGCCACGTAGCTTCCTTTTATGACACATGCGGAGGTCAAAACAGAAATAAAAACGTTGCCACAGCGATGCTCTATGCCGTCAATACAATTTATAATCTTCAAATCATTGACTTAAAATGTATGGAATCAGGTCATTCGTACCTGGAAGCGGATTAAATTCACTCTACAATCAAGAGGGCTCGGGCACATAAACAAATTTATAACACTCGGGAGTGGTGTCTATTGATTCCAGCTGCTAGGATGAAACCTAGACATACCAAGTTATTTATTTAAAGAACTCAGACTTTTTTAATTTACAGAATCTTGTCGATGACGTTATGACAAACAGTACTGTAAGTTGTGTTGGGAACAAGGTTGAATGGCTTAAAATCAAGTGGTTGCAATTTCAGAAAGAAAAGGCATTCACAATTCAATATAAGTACGATCTATTATCAGAAACTTTTTTGGAACTTGATATTACACAAAGCAGAAAACGATTCGGCCGAACAAAGAACTGGACTTCTGTACAGCTAAAATCTAAATATCCCAGTTGCATTCCTATTTCTGATAAAAAGAAGGAAGACCTTGTTTATTTACTCAATAAAAAAATTATTCCCGAAGAATACAGAGATTTCATTATTAGTTTTCCATCGACATCGGATTCAACGCAGTTAGCAGTACGACTAATTTTCAATACAAATATTTTTAAAGAGTTTTTTGTGTTTTGTCACATTATCAAACAATTGTGTATAGTTTACCAAAAACAAATAAATCGCTGAAAACAAAACTTATTTGACTTTATATGATGTTATAAACTTTGTTTTTGCAATTACTCGAATTAGCGATTTTTCACTTAGCACCTCTGTGCGCTAGACCAACGATATATACATTTCAAAGACATCTATTCTTTTTTCTGTTTCAGAGTCCATTGTCCAACTTTCACAGCCATACAGCAAAATAGAGAAAACTTAACATCTATATCTCAGTTACTTACTAGTCATAAAAATTTTCAGTTTATTTTGAATCATAGACGAGTTAAGTGCTTTTAAAGATAGTCTGACATGGCGAATTCACGATACCCCGGAAAGCGTAAGTAAATATCATAAGTCGTAAATTTATTATATGCAACCAAATACTATTTTATATAATAGTAGACATATCAATTTTTATACTGCTTATTCAAGATAAATGATTTATTGTTGTTTTTTGT